GATATGTTATAACGACTCTATATACGAGTAGCTACGAAATCCGGGACTGTTTGGAAAAAAAGGAAGGATATTTTTAATGATCATTTTATTGCAAATTGGTGAATGAATTAAGATTGACCTGCAATCGGTTTCATCCATCACGAACTAGTTAAATCAGATACAAACATTGTGTAGAAGGAATTGGAACAATAAGTGTCGATTAGAAGATAGATCCGATTAGTGGATACTCATCCAAGACATTGGTGTAGGTGCCTACCTACTTGTAGGTAGGAGTTCAATAAAAAATGTTTACGTGAAGATTGTATGTTACGACAAAAAAAATACTTTGTTAATGTGTAAGTACCTTGTGCTCTTAATGTTTTTAAACTAATCGCATGTGTTATCTAATTACCATGTTCAATACTAGAGAAGCTGAGTTTTGAGGTAGGTATAAGGTATAGGTAGCAATATAGCTAATATACGAAACCGTTTGCTCAGACGGTAGCGATTTAGAGATTTCTGGAGAGTCTGCGGCATTTTGGGGTTGTTACGACACAACTCGAAGGCCTACAACCCTCTTCTAGTGACGCAAATTGGACTTGGTTTTATTTTAGAGTGGGAGCATCGACATTCTTCTACAAAAAAATCGTTGCAGCTGTTCAGGGCGGGACTTTATGTTGCCTCTGCACATGCTCGAAAAAGAGGCGTTAACTTTGTAGATGGAAAGGCGTGGTCCTTTTCGTCCTGCTACTGTTGATGCAATGATATGTATTTTTTCCGAAGGACAAGAAGATGCGACTTTAGCTGTTGCTGAATAGTCTCGAAAGAAGAGTGTTTTAATAAAAGGAAGTGGGCAAATACTACACTCTCCCATTCTGCATTGCGTACGGTCCTGGCGGACCGATTGATTATGCGTAACCGATGCGCAAAAGACGTAAAAAAGTAATTTCAACACCAACCAGTTACATACCATACCATGCTCAAGTTTCTCAAATAACACATAGTATTGTATCTACCTATCCACTACTTACCATTTTTACAACTTACCTATGCCTAAAGCCCCCTTTTAGTAAAACAACAGATACTTAAATTAGTAGGTATGTCTAAAATTGTAAAAATTACACCTATCAAAAAAGTATATTCAATCAACATGTTCCTACACATGTGTTTCATTGGTAAGTATCTTAAGGTAAAGAAAATCCTTTTACCTATAGATATAGGAGAAGGTACCATTTCTAACGATTTTGTATCTATTGTATTTTTGGTACCTATATTGAGACAGACATATACCTATATTAGGTATCGCCCTTAGAATCTGTTTGTTTTGGGAAATCTATCGCTGCTTATCTCGGTTTACCACGAAGAAGACAGTTTTATACCTGTTTCTGAAAAGTTTTTACCTGAACAAATTAAAGTGCGATCGCTTTCGACGTGGCACTTTTTCCAAACCGCATGACAAAAACAAAAAAAAGCAAATTTAAAATGCTATATTCCAAATTACCTACCTATTTTACTATAAGTAGTAAGTACTTATCGCTTCTATTTTTAATATTTCATTAGCAGCTTTTTATTTTGTACCCATTTCCTATCGTTAACACCTGCGTAAATTGCTTTGGATAAATAAGACGTATCATTAGGTACAACTCGTTGAAGTCGTTATCACGTGCAACAACTTTAGGGATTTACTCTCATCAGGTGTTCGTAGAATAATGCCTATCTGTTTCTGTGTGGCAATGTAAATAATTTTTCACAATAACTTTTCAACTAATACACCAACCTTTGTGCAGGTAGGTAATAAGTATTCCCAAATGCTACTGCTATGTAGGTACTTGCAGTTATTACTTAATGCCACCATCGATTATGGAATGTTTTATTTTCCAAATAAAGGGTCGTTAGCTTAACACCATGACGTCTTCAGTTAATAAAAGGTAAACATTTACACCTCTTCGCGGGAGGTAATTCAGAAATACCCTGCCTGATGGGTTTTATCAGCAACTTCCTTGTTTTGTGTCCAAAATGTAGATGTATGTACCTATCTATCCATTTTACTATTGTTGTTGCATATGGTTATTAGTCAGTGTTGAATCGGAAAATTTTGGCAAACCAAAAATATTACCTAATACTTAATAGCTATTTACTTATAAAAAAATCATTTTCAGGATACAAACAGCAACACATTTTGTATTTTGCCAAGTTTCTTGTTGAATGTTAAGCATTATAAGTTACAGAACAAACAACAATTAAGAAAATTTGACGACGATGATTATGGCTTGTTCTATTACCTCTTTAAATCTCTTATGCTAGGATAAAAGTTGGTAGACAATAGGTACTTCTTGATGTAGAAGAAATGTTAAAAAGATTTATCAATAATAAATGTGATTTGGGTAATAGGTACCTACACCCTTATGGATCAAAGAAGTTTATTATTTCGTGATTTTAAAAAGATATTTTTTCTCCTCAAAAACCCTTTTAGTGTAATTTTTACATTTTCCTTAATAATAATTATTAAACAATACCAAAAAACAATTGTTAAATGGTAGTCTGCATCACGGATCCACAATATTTATACCGAAATAATGACAAAATAAAAATTATTTTAAATTATCAAATTTACCTAATATCTCACATGTTAAATGTTATTGTTAAGTTCGGGTCAATATTTTATTTATATCAGTAACTCTCAAATTTGTACCGCAACCATCATTTATACTTCAATTTGTCAGAAATGTAAAAAATGTTTTCTTTTCTTTTTTTTTCTGGCTATTCACGTTGCTTCGTACAAAAGATCAAACCGTAAAGTCGAAAACTACATAGTCTCACGCCCAGAAATTGGAAACAATAAACGTCGACAATAACAACAATTCATCCCTTCTCAAAAGCCACCCTACAGAGGCCATCATCAGTACTCTCTATTACCCTGGTCCTATTGAAATCTTTTGTAAAAGATCTTCAACAGTGTAGTGCAGTACCTACCTTGTACCTAAACAGTGCGTGTGTAGAAATATCTATTTCCGATGTAGTTGTATTTGGTATTGAGAATGGTTAGTTTCAATTCAAGCTGAAACTTTATACATACCACACTTCAATCGATTCTGAAATTCTATATACGCCATGTGTGTCGGTTAGAAATTTGATAGTGCTAATTAGAAAACAACGCGTTTTATAGGTATTAAGTACCTACATGTTAGCAACAAAAGAATAATCGATCAAATTTAAGTGTCCTTTTTTTAATATACTACACTAGATGTGAACATTTACTCGAAATCAGTGTCAAGTAAAGTTGACTGAAGAGCGTGCGTGCCCTATTACCTATTTATCTATAAATAAATGTGCGTCATTAAAATAAGTGTAAATTGGTACTAGATGCAGTATACAGCAGTTTTAGGATATTTAATCGTCAGCTTTCATGTAAGTACCTGCACCTAAACACATTATACATTCCCAGATATGTGCTTCTGCAAGTCAACTCGAACCTCCTTTGGGTAGAGCATCGGTCGAAGATGTTATAAGTGTTAGGTAATGCTAATTTCGATTTACGATTAGAGGGACGGACTTCACTGTAAAATAGGTATCTACTCGATGTTCCACAAGACACTTTTTGTATGTAGGAAGACGTTGTGTACTTGTATAGGCTGATACCACCGAAATTTAGGTTATATGGTCGAAAGGGTAGTTTTATTTTACGCCATCAGAATTCGCCGCTTCAAATGTTTCCCTACTACACATTAATCAATGTAATCTAATAATTAGTTCTCTATTAATTAATTAATTCATTTCGTTCTAAATAATAAAAACACGGTTCTGATGTAGATGAGATTTCAGTAAAAATGTTTGTGAGTCAAAAGAAATCCCTATCATTCCATTAATATTACCAACAAATTGTTAAGTTCTATATTTAATAGTTAAGTTCGTTAATTTGGGAACTAAATTTTTAAGGCACCGTATATATTTCTACCTAAAATTAGTCAATCTTTATGTTAAAAAAAAAAAATAAACGTATTCAAGTAGGTAACAATTTTTGTTCCAAACATGCATGCGAGTTTATTGGATAACGAATCGATAGATACTATATAAATAAGGCGGAAAAGTGGAAGTCGACATTAACCGATAACTTATTTGCACAAACTGTACAATGCATATCATAATAGAAGGATTAAAAAGTATTGTTGGATTTTGTTTTTCTCGATAAAGAGGTACGCACTTAGGTACCTGAAACCGGCAAATTTCTCAGTACAGAAAAATTTTAACCAAGAGACGAGTTTTGCCAACGGGCGGTTTTAAAAGACGTCAAATAGATTATTTTTAATACCTTCTTTATACTGAAAACGTTTTCTACTGACGAATTGGGGACGTTCAATGTCTTTTTAGTTAACCGCTTCCAACTGAAAGAAAAGAAAGCAACTGGAACGCCGACACAGTGCACTCAGTAACAAGAAGAACGTCTTAAGAAACATGCAACACAGGGAAGTAGTATAATCCTAACGAAAATTGCAACTTTGTTAAAATAAACGACAATGTCGGTCAAGCAAAAACCAGAGGGGACAAGAAAAGATTCATGCAGATAAAGCAAAATGTTTACCGTTCACTATATTTTGAATAAAGCGCGCAACGAGCGTAGAACGCCTGTCAAATTGCACTTTATTACTATCACAACTGAAATTTGTATTTGTATCTAATACGAATTTTTCTACATCACGTCTTACTTAATATTTACACACAAGAAAAACAAATGGGAGTTCTATGGAACTAAAATGCGAAATTCCGCACAAAACGCAGCGCAACATCAGCAGCTTACATAAAATAGCAAGCAACAGCAAAAACAATCATCACCTAAATTAGCAGGTTGAGATTTATTAGTGGTGACTAAGTAAAGTGGTTTCTTTCATAGTTTGTTTTTTCCTTTATTACCCTACTGCAGTTTTCATTTTCCACTCCAACTTAAATTAATGTAGAAAATTAATTAATTAATGTATCTGTTTTGTAGTATTGTAGATTTTAATTTATTTTTTCTTTTGTTTCAGTGAAATTGTCGTTCAACCGAAACTGCATCACCACGTCTCCGTCGGCGGTGTCGGAAAACGTAGTAGCGGCGGTTGCGGCGGCGGCAGTGACCGCCGGCGGGGGCGGCGCCGGTACGAACGGCCTTTTGGCCCGGATGAACATGGCCGGTTATTTGAAATCTTCGGCCGCAGGACCACATCCCCACGGACACTTTCCCGGTCATCATAGTCTCAGTTCCGGTATACCTATGCCCGCGCTCACCCCCTTCGGCCTGCCCCACTCGCTGGATCCTGTCACATTCCCCCAAGGTAGAAATAATATTAATTACTTCATCGAGTCAAAATTTTCATCCTTCACATGAAATTTTTAATATCTATCATAATCTGAGTCTTACTTACATCTAAACTACGCTTCTCGCGATGGGTTGGATGAGGTGATGTATTATGTAGTGTTAAATCACATCGATCGTTTTTAGATAATGATCGAATTTATTTCAAACAACGATGATTTGTACAACGTGTTCGGGTCGAAAGTATATAGCAGAATGCATAATAGCACTGCCCGTCTACATGTTGTCCGGTAATTATCGTACTTGCGGCTGACACCCTAAAAGAAATGTAGTAATATATCTGCGTTTTTAGGAATCACAACCTATTGAAGAAATAATTAAGTTACTGTTTTATATGTAGGTATTACCTACATATCATGTAATAATCAAGTAGATACGATCCAATTCTTTATTTCAGTGGATTTTGCTGTATTTTTATGTCAAACATATTTTTGTAGTAATTGATGTGTCCCACCATTGTAATGCGCATTTGACGAAAAAACTGAAAATGGGAGAGGTACGATATCGCGTATGCATACGACACACAAGCTGCGATAAATTTTGTACAATTGAGGATATATATAAAGTTGGCATTTCTTGTTGCTGTGTCTGACGAGTCGTAATAAAAAAATACGACCTGTGTGTTGTGTGCACGAAAGACAAGTAGGAAGCCTTGATGGGGAGGGTCCGATAACTTTGTACGTTGAAGGGCTTCGCAGTACAAATACAGACGACCTTCATGACCTCTCTCGCGTTTTACGGAATAGAATAGAATAGAATAATATTAAAAAAAGTACTTCGTCCAGAAAAATCCTTTTAATGCCTGATCAAAAATTGAAAAATGGAAATTACAAAACTACCAAGAATGTAAAATTAACCCTGTAGCAGTAATTTATTGTTTTAATTAGTTAAGTGATTGGATTGGTATCTGATGCAATATGCATTTTAGTAGTGTATCCCAACGATTCCTTTCTCGTCATTAATAGTTACGTACACCTACTTGCAGATATTAATTTGAGTTGAATTGAACGGATTATCTTTTTGGTCAGGGGACGATTCCTTTTAAGATTAATTTATCGATTTATTATATTATCTATTAAAAGGTCACTCAAAATGAACAACTAATGCCAAACAAAATTAAATTTGGCCTCGCCAATATCAGTTTGACTAACTGTAAGCATCCGATAGCAATGTCAAAATAAGAACCTTTTAAAAATTATTATCTGTGAAATATGATCGAACTAATAGCTACGAGCGTGTTGCGATGTTTTAAAGTACACCTGTCAATTAATTACGGCCAAGAATATATCCGCTAAAGCTATTAACAATTTCTCGTTTAATTCAAATTGTTCAGTTTTTATCCTTTTTAAAATTATACGTACCTATGTAGCCTAGCTGTACTTATTGTAAATTAAATATGTGCTGGCACTATTATAAAATCCAAGATAATGTGTTGGTAAAATTTGAATTTTTAAGGACGAATTAGGGGGCGTTGCAATCTCGTCCATCGAATTTATTTAGGTACGTATTCCCCAGACGAAACATGTGATTTGTTTAGCAAAAGTACTTACACGCAAACTTGGGCAATATTAAATTACGTCCCATGCGACTTGGGACGGTGGATAGATGGATAGAGAGAGGTCGTCGGGCCGTCGAGTCGACGTCGCGGCGCTTCAACTTATTAGGGAGCAGTATCGGCAACAGCCGTAACACATATACATGTATATTTAGGAATCTATTAGGCCATGACGGACTTGTTGTTCATTGTGATAACGAGAATGCCGCATCGTCTTTCTTCCATTTAAAGAGCCGCGCTGTTGTTTAGGGTGCCGCTTTGCCCCCAACCAAACCACATTAGCTAATCTTTATTATTCATTACGTAATTTGCCAAGAGATTCCGTTTCACGATCAGAGAGAATGAGTTTAACGCACATACGCACCGCTTCCTATAATATAATCCCCATACGTCTGACTACAGCGTATGTAGATACCTATATATTACACATATGTATAAACAATATACCAATACTATTTTTGTGGAAAATCTCTTTACATTCTAAGTTCCTTCTGATGATGATAATGGCGTTTTTGAATAGTTGTTCTATTTCAAGATGTTCTTACCTACATAATTGCTATGGTAAACACGGATACTTATTAAGAATAATACAATTTCCAAAATTGCTTGTTGTGATGGGTGATGAGTTCGAGACTGGTCTCAAATTTTAAAGTATGCTAATACTTTTCTCTGATTGTGAACATTACTATGTTAAATAAAAAAGACAAAAATAATTAAGAACAACTTTTAACCTCAACATCCTTAAATGATGGTAATTTTACTTTTTTACGAATATTCCAAAATTCAATGTGCTATAGAGCTTTTTTCTAATGGTGCGTTATCAAAGACTACATCGAAAATGATTGTCTTCGTTTTTTAGTTCTTTTTTAACTTTCCGTTAGTAGTGCGCTAGGTTAGGTACTAATACAAACGGTCAAAAGGAACAACAGCAGGAACTTAATTTTAAGTATTGACTACATGTTATTCGAAGCCAAATTCGACACTTGCTCAAGAATTACCCTATATTGAATCGCGAAACCAAACAAATCAAATTAGCATATTAGGATTTTCAGGTTTAAGATATAGGTAGGTACCTATTCGGTATTCAAAAATTGCGATGTGTTGGGGTAATTCTGAAGCCACTGTCCAAAAACGACATCCCTCATTTTTCTTTCCTGAACCATGCAGAGACCGACCACAATGATGATTTGGACTGATAACGAAATATATTTTTTTGAAAATAAGTGAATAATTAATTTTCTTAGGAGTGAAAATTAGGTACATTGAATGTAAACAACGCGTATTGTGTCTATATATACAAAAAAGACTAATAGCAGTAGGTATCGTCACCCTTGCGCGTGTTCGCCCCCTGTGACGTCGGCATATTTTAAGGAGCCATGTGTATGGCAATGTGAGAAACTTATTTTAAGTAAACAGGGGGGATGGACGAGACCTATACCGATAAAGAAAACAAACACACCACCGCACTAGTGCACTGTTGTTTATACTGACAAATTGATTTCTCTATAATCACTTATCACAGTCATGTGTCCAACCCTAATTTTTCACACATCCGACTGTGAGGCGTTAACAATTCTTCTGTAAAGCCTGATTTACTCTCTTATTTAAATCGCTATCTATATACATTTATATTACTATATTTTGAACATTTAATTAAAATAGACTTGCCTTATTAGCCTATAATTTAGATTTATCCAATAAACCAGTCGTTCTAATCTAATGATTTTCTAAAGAAATACCCGAAATTTTTGTAGTATGCGAAAACAAAATTGAATCAAGAATAAGTTTGAACATTAGTTCTAGTGTTATCTATTTTTGCTTAATAGGTATTTTTAGTAAAAGCAGTTGTCAATTGCTTACAGAACTTTAGTAGCAGCCAGAACGAAAGGAAATTTAAAACAAATATTAAATTAAAACAAGTAGAAAAAGGAAAAGTTGAATTACTTTTTGTTGAAAAAAGTTACCGACGTTCTTTATTTTTGTCAGATGGGAAATCGCAGCTGGCCAATAAACGTTCTGGGGTGTCTAATTGAATTACTAATGTTTCATTGGGGTCTTTTAACACAAACTCAAATCATTGTTTGCACGCGGTAGGCACAACTACACTTGAATAAATAAATTCATTCCTGGATGTATATATGCACATTACACAATATATATATATTACGTACATACGTATACCTGTGCACACCTAAATAGTGAGTGATATATGTATATCTACTCAAGATCTTCATTTTTCATTCGATTGTTTTGATAAATTTTAGGAATAAAGGAATTTACCTTCTGATGCCGTGTCTGTAAAATTATTAGATCCAGGTCTGGAGGTCTGACGGACGCAACGCGGGTCAAATAATAAGATCGCTTCTGTTCTATTATTATTTCATGTTGAGATTTATTGACTGAATTATAATGCACAGTCTTTCCCTATTTGTCAGGTGTCAATCCAAGGAAACAGCGTCGGGAGCGGACTACGTTTACTAGAGCTCAACTGGACGTTCTGGAAGCCCTCTTTGCCAAAACGAGATATCCGGACATTTTTATGCGAGAAGAGGTGGCTCTAAAAATCAATCTTCCTGAATCGAGGGTCCAGGTTCGTACTTATTACTTACTATTTACCTACTATTAGTTTAGTTCTCACACCTTTGTTTTTTTCGTTCAGAAATTTTACTAGGTAGATATAATATACTGTAGGTATCTATGTATAAGCAACGTTCTGTGCTGCTGCGTCGAAGAATAAAAAACGTACAGCAATAACCAACACCTTCTCTGCCCGATCCATTGGACAAGTTTCTTTCATTGTTTTTTATACGTATGTGTTCATATATTTACATATATATACACAGATCAAGATTAGTGTCATCGAAATTTATTATGGAGGGTCGGCTTACTGAGCACAGCAGCGCGTTATTTGTTTTTTATTATTTTGTCCTTTCTTGAAAAATTATAATTAAGCGTTCAGCAGTATTTTGGCGTTTATAGAGAGAAAAGTTGCGTATAGGTACCTATATCCAGATTTTAAAAGCTATAATACATATTTGAGTTTTTAACTACAAATGAAAGAATTTACCTAAAATTGTAAAATTATTGTTTACCTACTTGCTCCAGAATTACATCTAAATCAGTATATTTTTGCTAGTTGTATTGTTTGTGATGTTTGATACGGTCGTCCTGTTGCCGCGCCTGAGTGTCCTGTCCCGTCATTCGGTTCGTTTCTCTAATCACACCGTAAAAGCGAAACAAACAGCAGCTGTGCCCGATGAAAAGACTAACCAGCCTTTAAATTGAATCATTACCGGGAGGAGTGCAAACACTACGCCCTCCCAATTGTGCTATATTGTAACTCGTACCGCAGGCCTATTTCCTGCGTGCTGCCCTTAATAACAAACCAAGTGTGCATTTATATGTATGTCTACGAGTTTGCCAGCCAACATGCTACAGCTACGGTTACAGCTAACTGTTAGTTTATACCTCCCTTTATTCTTTCGCCCCTTCTCGCACTTATTATTATTATTATTATTATTAGGGGGGTAGTGCGACGATGAAACACACGGTCTTTTAGGATGATACTCTAAACTTAATTAAACTATTATCTATTCGATTGCATTTGTCAGTGTTTGACTGCTTAATAATCATGTCCTTGATACCAATATTCGAAAAGAGACACATTCTTCGAGTCCAACATTACTTAGGTACGGTAAATAGAGACCAAATTGGTCTAAACATTCAAAATTCTGGTTAATTTCAAAATGTCCAAGAAAATCCTTGTACCAACTATCTATTGGGCATTACGCTGATCTGTGGATTTGAATGTTTGACGCCTTGACTTTCGACGTTTATGTAAAACAGTCTATTTTTTCGCCCTGTAAGTACATTTTTTATGTCGATACCGTTAAATAAATGGAGAGCGTTCGTGGTCACAAAAATGTTTATATACGCGATTGGACGGGTCTGTGTGTTCTGTATGCGTATGCACCTTCGTCTAATACCCGATTACACAGCCTGCCGTCTCTCCTCTGAACCATTTCCCTATCAATTTCCACCACATTTCGTTCCCCTTACAAAAACTGTTACTCTGTAATGCCTCTTTTATAGTGCTCGTTCTTCAGGCAGGACTTATAAAGGCAAAAGGCGGGGTGCCTTCGCGGAACGACCCTAAATAATCCGTCAACTAATGGAAAACTACCCCTCGGGTGCAGCACGCATGTATAGCTTTTGTCCGCGCGATTGTATTTGATAAAACTTATATACATATACCTAATACATATAATTCATGTTATATCTACATATTTACGTATGTATGTGTATTCACAGAATCACACACACACACACACATATAAGTAATAACGGAGCATAACAGTTACTTTTGTGCAGTGAAAGTTTGGACGAACCGCGACGTTTCGGATAAGGGTGCGAATGCAGAGGAAGGTCCGGTAGTAGATTTTATGATTAGGGGGTGCCCTCTTACCATGCATTCGTGCGTGTTATTATTTATACATTGATATGCACCAACAGTTAAAAACTTATGAATATTATTATTCTTGATAGTGATGATCTAAGGTTGCTAGTTTTTATCAAGCGCATAAGTAGGTAGATACGTATATTTAATTTCGTATTTTTTTTTTGCGTTAGCAATGAAACAAATCGGTATTGAATGGTGCATTTATTAACGTAGAGAAGGGTGATTCTGTCCTAGAACATTTTTATTTTTGTAACAAAACATCAAAAGTAACCAAGTGCCGCGTAACATCTCGAGGAGGAGATAAGATTTAGATACAACGCCGAGACTGCCATATACCCGAGGGACTTTATGTTTTGTTAATGGGGATGTCAGTGTTACCATGGCGACTCGCAACATCCATCCAGCCAAGCTTTATCGTTGGCGAGCTGCGGCCTTCCTTTACAACGATTGCGCCTTGTTCTTTTTATCAATTTGTGTACGCGAAGCGAAAAAATATTTTATCACAAACTTTACATTGGATATCATTTACCATTATTTCATTTTAGGTAACTATAACTAATGAGCTACTTTGTGATTTGCAGTAACCATTTGTGCCTTCGAAAAAATTGAGATTACTCTATGAATCATTAGATAAATCCAATAACTGCAACCTTTAGATACCGTAAGCACACTGACACGAACACTCAATCAGTGGAACAGTAACACACGGGTCAACGAAATAATACCTACATTTAAAAGGAACTAATTTGGTCTCGTCAGAATTGCCTCACCACATGAAAATTTTTAAATATTCCAATCTTCTCAAAACTCATAAACACAATTTCTGTTTTCTTTTTTTAAAGGATTAGGGAAATATGTATTACAATCTGGCCTCATTATTGCTCAACACACTTGAAGATTTTAACTTCCAAGTCCAAATTTTGCTAATTTGGCTTGCTTGGATTTTAGATTAGGAGATTTTGTGATAGCAGTTAGGCGCGTAGGTTACAAGGGGAATTGGTTGATTTTATTTCTTCCAGGTTTGGTTCAAGAACCGTCGGGCAAAATGTCGACAGCAATTGCAGCAACAACAGAACAAACCTTCACCTAGAACGCCGACAACACCAACGAAAGCTAAGGGTAGCAAGCCCTCGCCCGTGATACCAGTGACAAGTTCTACAACGACCAATAACATACCCCCCACGCCCTCTTCGTCGGTATCACCTTCTTCAACGACCATCAACATCAAGAAGGAATCTCCTCAATTATTGAACACTTATCGCAGCACCAACGGAAACGTGACACCCGTCGGAAGCAACACGAGCAGCGTGATAGCGACTCCGTCACCTCCGATAACGCCATCGAGTAACACATCGCTCTCTTATCAGCACGATTCTTTCAACACATTCAATTGGCACACAAACGGACACAGTCCGCCACCTCATCATTATTACGGGCAAAATTACAACGCCGCCTATTACAGCCAAATGGAATATTTCAATCAACAGAACGGACAAAATCAGATGCAAATGGGCAACCACATGGGTGGCGCTTATCAAATGGGCAGCTACTCGATGACCATGGGTATGAGTGCCGGACACCATCAGAACTTCAGTCCGAGGCATCCGGACTGCAGTCTCGACTACATGAACCAAATGGTTTAGCCGGTAAGACTTACCGCTGCTGTCGTATCTCGTTTTATTTAAATTATTATTATTGTCTTGGACGACACGCGCCATATCATCCACCTTCTTTTTATGTTCTTTAACGCTATGTATCTACTCACATGGATACTTATATTATCATAAAATGATTTTTATTATTAATATTATTACCTATACATAATAATATCGTATTATGTAAATAAGTGACAATGTAATTGAAATGCTGACAATGCAAGTGTTAGTACAAACAAAATGTGTGTGAGTGCATGTGAGCATGCCGTTGCGTTGTATGTGTCTGTGTACATAATAGGTGAGTATATGTAACATGCATGCATATCAGCATTCACAACCGATTGTGAAACACACGTAACTAAGCAATATACAGGAGCGCGGAAATCGTGTCCAAGATGTACCATTGAAAATATTTTTTTTATTATTTTTTTATTACTTACTCTAGCCGTAAGTTGAGCATACCTAAGCCAAATTTTTTAATTAAATTCGGAAAAATTTTCAATCCAGAGAATAGTCATACCCAGGTAGGTGCGGTAGGTACTTTTTCGCAACTGTATATTACTTATACTGTGATAGAGTGATGTGCGAAACTTGAACCCTTTTTATATGTAAATACAAAACAAATCAGTGAACTAATTATTGAGCCTAAATGTATTATACGTAGTCGATAATTATTATTATTATTATTATTAAGGTGATGACGAGTAAATGTACATAATATNGTCCATTTGAATCGTTAAGATAGCAGACAAGCGTAAAAGGGGCCGTCGATGATGAAGCAATCTTCAATGATAATAATTTGTCATCTTTTTCTGTATATACATTGGTACCTATTAGGTATATTGTCCTGCGTTATATTAAATTCTGTGCCTGTTGCTCATATGTAAATCGAAAATAACAAAATTATAAAATAAAATTAACCCCATTATCTAGAAAATAATATTGTAAAAATATAAATGCGTACATACGTGTGCCTTTCGGTAATAATCGATGAGTTTCTCCTTATGATATATGATAATTTGCGCAAATTGGCGAAGCAAGTCAAGTTGACAATAAAATATTGTGGAAATTACAGTCGTTCTAACTTTAATTTTTCCTCCTCTAAAGTTATACGAATCTTAAAAATTTAATAAACGTCCTGCGAGAAAGCTTTTCGTACTTTATTACAACATGTGGGGCTGCTCCAGAAAGAGCTTTGATCATTTCGCTCACTTGACGTTGTGGATTTTAAAGAGCTACTCAACATAAAATTCAACACTCGATTTTCATTATTAAAAGTCACGCAGCACGCACTACCCCTTTTTAAACAAACAAGTCTAAAGAAGGTAAGTAAGTATTGAAACCCGAACGAATTCGTACTTGTAAATATCGGCAATTTATAGCTGGCTTTTGTTGGTCTTCGTTCTTTACTATTTCCATTTATCAACCTATAAAACAATCGATTACCATAAAATTTTTACACGACCATCAAAATTATCGTTAGCTATATGTATGTCTGCCTAATTGTACATCTGATGGTTTTTATCACAATAGCCGCAGGTATCGATCTTTCTTTGTTAGGAGGCAAAAACCTGACGATGCAGTATACGTATTAGCACAGATTCATAGAGGGGGATGAGACATCATGTCGAACAGAACGTTTTGCAAAAGGCAAAAGACTAATAGCGCATCATTAACGTTATCATACTAGCAATCGAACTGATGTTGGCCTCATCTTCACCCCCTACCCTATAATGTTTAATACAACAATGCAATTAAAGGGAATTTCTGCTTATTAATCCGCTACCTACTACAAAGTGCACGTAGAAACCCCGTCTGTTAACGATTTCCTGCACTGATTATGTGTACGTTATCGTATATTGATATTGCGAGTACATCTTACATACCTAAATATAAATATTTCGATAGACATACGTAATTAGTTGCAGACAGATGTAAATTACAAGTTTGTGCTTCAGAATACTTACTTTAACTTGTGGAAATTTACTCTGGTAATTTTTCTTTATGAGACATACTCTACATTAATACGATATAGTCGCGGGTATAGCAGACTGCATCATATACCTAATACATTAAAATAATTTGATTTCGAACAGATTAAACTGTCAGTGAAATCGGGGAGTCCAATTTCATCAACAAGTTTCTGATGTATCAGGCTTCTTTGTCCGTCACTAGAATATCAGGTTTCATTGACTTTATCTGTCACACCTTACACCCCAACAAGAGACGTTAGCAAAGACATAATCCAACAGCACACAAAAGACGCTCGTCATTCTCCGATAGATTAACGCAGATTATCGCATAAATATGTAGGTGCACCTACAAAATATTTTAGTGCATGTGTGTGTTTGGAGACAGACGAAAAATATTTGTCCGTTTCATCTCAAGGAATTTCTGCCTCTTCTATCATCAAAATGCACTTTTTTTATAGAGAAATTTATAATTATAATAAGTGCCGCGTACCTACGTATATTACGGGACATTATTATAAACACTTATCTATGATGTATGCAAGTCATCATTTTGAAGCATCAAATAGGTATAGTGGCCCAAACTGTCTAGATTTTAAACATGTAGATATCTGGATAATTCAATTTTGATATCGGCGCGCCTTTTGGAAAATAATTTTCCGTTATTATAGGTTATGGTACTTATTAAATAGACTGATCAGATAGTAAATCGATTTCAAATTGAACGGATTATAAAATTATTAATGCTTGCACGACTTTATCCAAAACTGTTTATATTTATTGTTAATTAAATGAATTATTGTGTATAACAGCGAGGTATATAGATTCACAGTCGAAAGTGTCGCTAAAGACATTTCCTCCGCCTTATTTTATTTATTGCTTTTTACTTACGCTTAGCTATATACGTACTATTGACAGTGGTTGCGATAGTTACAGAAACAAGTTCAAGTCCGACTGAACGAATTTAAGAAAAATTCATCAAAAGCACAATGCAACAGAGTGAGGGAAACAATTAACAAAATCGGAAGGGAGGATTAGCCACAGCTACACGTGCCCATGCATCCCTCAAACTGATAATTATTTCCAAGTCGAGGCCTTCTATAACATTTGTTCATTTTGATAAAGGACGCGCCGCCGTCGCCCGCCCCGACCTAACTTTACCTTTTCTTTCGAACTCATTATCGGTGATTTATCGTTTCTATTGTAATGCAGACCTAAATATACTTGCCAATCACATTTGTTCTTAGGCATGTAGGTACGTAATACTTTATAAAATAAGTATATTTAACATTATTATTGTTTAATAAAGAAAATCTAATTCGGTACACAATGAATAGCCGAATGATTTTTAAAAAGCAAATTCGCATATCACTGATGGCTAAGAAACTTATTGAATTGTCTAACATGGTGCATCTGAAGAATAGAAATTTAAAATCGATTATCGAAATTGCGTTGCGTTGCGTTGCGTTGTTGACGATTCGTTTGATGTTTGGCGACTACAGGGTGTTTCAATGGGAAACGTTAAATTGGACGATTTATCAAATCATCGTAAACCCCAGCGTTATCCCTTCTAATACAATTTTAATTTGCGAAATAAAAAACGTCTCAATCAGCACTACCCACTTATTAATGGTTATCCAATTTAGATTGTTTAATTTTTTATCTGCTATAAATAGGTAATAAGTTGAACTTGATGTTTATTACTGTCAATAATAATCTATAGTTTTATACAACGAAAGAAAAACAAAATGGCAACTTAACCTGATTTATATTAATTGAACTTGACAATGTCTTTTAAATATATACCTACGTGATCTTTATCAAGAGTAAATTATACAAGATGATTAAATTATTTATAGTATAGTACAGGATACACATACGGTAATTTCAATCTAATGTATTAGATAATAACAAAAAAAACTGTTTTACATGCAAAGGCAAATAAAGGTAAAAATTGTCTACATTGGAGAGCCTCTGCGTAAATCTGACATTAATAATGAAGATCCAATTGAAACTAGAAACTATTTTCTCCAGTGTATGTAACCCTTGATAACGATCACATAGATCGAAGAAATTATATTGAATACAATTAGGTACAATTGCCCACGTAATGGTGAAACTGTATTGGTTTTTCTTTTATTGATAAATCATGTTTCACAAAAATTGAAAGTTTAAATAATTTTAAGACAATTATTTGATTTTAATTTTTCATTATTCCTAAATGATGATTAATAACTTTATCCAAGTACCTACGATCCTACGCAATATCCTTCGTGAGAATTGGGGGATTTTATTATTGATCAAAAGCTGGTGTTGCCCCGTATCGTAGAGAACTGGAATCAAATGTGTCGAAGGCAGAATCCTTGAGAGCTTTTAATTAACGATCAGTTTCCGGAAGGAATTTCAGATATTTCATAAGAACCAGAATCAGTGGAAGAAGAACAACAACAGATGCCGCCACCAGGTAATACTTACAAACACCTGTAATTTTAAACTAAGATGTTTTTTGGTAAAAGTGGAAAAGTTTTTTATTTACATAGGGTACATGACATGGATCACTCATAGGCAATTAATTTGTGTTTTATAGCTTGCAATTATAAGAAATACCATAGAAATACAGTAGGAACAGCTAAACATGATAATGCCTGTTAATTCTAGTATAGAAATATTAATTGTCCTTGAAGACGTGAACACGCTTGGGTAGTATCAACGCTCTTTCCGATTAGATACCTACATATATGTATTTATGCTTAGGATCTCACTGTCCGTGATATGTATAACACTAGCATCAGTGATATTAAAATTCAACGAAGATCCGCTTTACAAAAATTATCATTAAATTATCAGAAAATTAGATCAACTTGATTTGTCTACTATCAACTAACTGCTTAGTAGCAAATGTATTTTTTGTCTCGAAATGTTTCGTGAAACATACAAAAAACACTGTGCTCTACTACTGATTAGTGTAATCATTATCGGTTGTTTATTAAAAATAGAAGAATACGACTATTCGGCTTCCGTTGAAATTTTGGAAAGACGAGCCGACGAGGTTTGGACATTTATGGCGAATTTTAGTAATATGAAACATTTAAATCCAACAATGTAATATAATATGGACACGTATTTATCTAGGTAAATCAACTAACCATTTATACAATTTTTATTTTAGAATTTCATTCGAAATCGTATCAGAAATTAAAAACGTAAATTCTTGGAAATATTCTGTAAAATACGAAGAACGTTTATCACATTGGCCTTACGTAAGGAACTATGCAACTGCTAACATTGTCACTGATTTCAATTATTCTGATGACATCCATTTTATAAATTCTACCCATCGCACATGCTTCTTAAAGAACACATTCTGCCGTAAGTAAGCTTACAAATTTCATTTATTCACGTGCATACACAATTAGTAGATTTTTTATTTTCTTTCAGTTGAATCAAAGGGAACGTTTCTAATACATTCGAACCTTCTGAATTCCGTAGTTTGTAAAGAACACGTGATCTATCAATGTCCAATATTCATGTCGCTTCTTTGTTTACGGGAAGTAGTTTACCAAAGGAATCATATTTTGGGAAATTTGAAGAAACATTTTGATAATTAACATGTGCGGGATAATGTACTTAATGAGTATACTTGTAATAAAAAAGGCAATCAGATTGCTAATTGTTATTTTTATTAATTTATACTTGAGTTACTTAAGTATAAAAGCATATAAATATGTAAGGTCCACCAATCGAAGTACCACGAAAATTGCCTAGTCGTCATAAATGTTATTTTTTAACGTGTATGTATAATATTAATAAATACTTATATTTTTACGCTTTACTCGTAGAATTTGTTTCGGTGTTTGTCGATTGATTATCAGAAACAGATTTTTCGTTAATTGCGAGCCATGGAAGACGCTTTTGCAACTCCAGCCTAAAATCAACCATCACACAAACGACCAAACCAGAAATATATAATGATAAAGACTGTAAAGCTGACGACGTTAACAATATTTTACCTGTATCTGGGATGACTTAGCGCATAGACGTAAGGATCCAGACAGGCAACCAATTTACAAGTACATGCTGGAATCATGGCAAAACCTGGCGTTACCATGTTCTGATCCCCGAACGCCCCAATCATCGCAAGAACAGCGTAAGGTGTCCACGAGGCCACAAACAAAAAGCAAATCGTTATTGCCACTTTTGCGATACGTACCTCGGCCGATTGGTTTTGTTGCTGTTGATTACTCCTTAACGAATCAACGTTCATTTTTTTTGCCTACAAATTCCACATTAAAATCCATTCGCCTACTGCACTAATTGTTTATCGACGTCTATCTTTAATCTACGCAGAGTAGAACCATCGTACTATACCTGTTCTCTCAGCGCCTTTTCGTGATCGAAAACGTGACTCACTATCTGACTGTAATAGTATATGATCGACGTCATGGGTAAAACATATGAAAATGTAAACAGAACTGCAACGAACATTCGAGTATCGAATGTTCTTGTCAAATAATCAAAAGTGCACTGAGTTAGAAATCCCTCTGGAAGATGAATTGTATTATATCGTAGTAAGTAAGTAAGTAACGGGTGACTACTCATTTTTGGACCATACCTGGAACAAACCTTCCCCAAAATTCCATCAGGGGCAAAACAGCCCATGGTATAACATATATCCAAACGAAAATAATCATAACGAAAGCCTTTGTTCTAGTCAATTTGCCCTCCAACGGATTGGCAATTGTATGATAGCGATCGTAAGCGATACAAGCGTTCGTCATTCCTGCACCAATTCCCGACAGTGTTCCCATGACAGCAAACGCCTGACAAGCCGTGTAACCCAACGTGTATCCGCGATGGAAAGAATTGTAAATAAATATGGGCGTTTTTAACATCATCAAAAAATCGCAGAAAGCCAAATTGACAACAAACATATTCGAAGGAGTTCTCAAACTCTTTGCGCTAAAATCCGACGGTAGAGAAAAACGTTTTCTAACAAATGATGCGAACACAACACCACTTACGTAGAAAATATCCACAATACCAGGCCATTTCCGAAGGTTGACATGAAAAACAAAGCGACATAAAGGAGCCCTAATAGAAAGTGGATGGACGCTTCGGGTTCAGGAAACTTCAACCAGTGCTCAGGAATATGTCCCAACTCGGAAGCCGGTATATTCCAACCTAGCAATCGGTTACCAGGATCCATTACTCTACAAGAGATAACTTTGTGACGCCAATATCACCTTACCAAAAAGTAGATACAAATCATATTTTCATCACTTACCGCGCCCGGGGTGAATTAACTACGGTCCAATTTGCATAGTTCATTTCGGGGAGTAGAGCTAAAAGATGCACACCTCTAACTAACTGTTTATCTAGCCAAACATTCGACTTTAAATAGGGACAATTTTAATTGAATTAATTAAACGCTGATCAAATTATCGCAACGAATCCCCGTTAATTTTAAGGTTGTGCAAAATCGATAACAAATTTTTAATTTGATTAAAACCGAAAATAAAAACACGTACCTAATTAGGAAGGATTTTTGCTTAATCCTAATCAAGGACTAATTAAATGTACTATCATACGCATATCGCTAAACATTGCCTTTCCCGAAGTTTCTTTATTGTACTAGACTAAACGTGATACTAACAAAAAAATTATAAAGTAAATCCTCATTCTGATTAAGATTATTCAATTTATCGAGTGGAAATATCGCCAATGGCAACCGTTGCTATTTAATATTAAATATCAACAAATAAAGCTCTTGTCATCATAGTCGGTGCATTTATTGTGGTCGAGGAAAAGTACAATATTCACAAGATGGATTTTGATCACGAATCTTCAAAAAAGGGGTCTAGAGCTACAGAATCGACCTTAGACGATTTGTCCAAGATGCTCGACAGTCCCGCGCAGAAAGTGAGCAACAAATACGTCTGCACACCCCCAGAAACGTTTACTCGGTTAGTTTTTCCATTACTGTATTTTTTCTTGTCGACATTTTTCGATCTGCTACGATCAAAATTTATTGTTTATAATAATTCGAACGAACTTGTTACCATTACAAAAGGATCTACTCACTTCGTTAAATAATTGCCGGATTGCACTACGTTATAACAGCAGCAATTTTATTCAATAAGTTTGATTGTGCATTTTTGTTGGTACTAATAAGTACTACGATATTTACAAAAACAAAATTTACTTTTTTCCATGGCAATCACCGAATGTTTTTTATTAATCCAACCAGATATCTATTTTTTAAAAATTAATTTTATTCTAGAAAACCTGATACAATTCCTTTTCACGTTCCGCATAAAAAACTTCTTGAGAAAATCGAATATCAAAAACCAATCCCCGAACCACTGGTAAGTTAATACGATAAGAATAAACGCATCGAAAATGTGCAAATGATACATACTTAGATGCGATAATACAAAAGTGTACTATGTGTATCCTATATCGGTCATTTTTTCCGTTTCAAGACTGGTTTCGATGAACGACAGCAAGCTATACTTAGGAGAAGGAGAAGAAGAGAAAAAATTTCACAAGAGAAAGATGAAGGAGAAACAGCCGCGAAACGTAAGACCATTCATAATTGAAATTTATCAAAGAACAAATAACGTTATAGAGTGTTCGTAGTTAATTTAATTTTTGTATTAATTATTATATAAAACACCTTCAAACATCTAATTTTACCCTAAGCAATAGTCTCCAGTAGGCACCACTTATGTATTAAATACACCAAAGAAAATAAGAATCAAAATCCAAGAAACTAATCGATGTATATTCTATACACGTATGTATATGTAACAAAAGTGCCGCTAAAGCTCCTCAATCGAACCTCGCAGCCTCACATGGGTTATATGGTGTGATAACCTTCCGTCCCTCGTACATGAAGAAGGTTTCGGTTTCAAAGATATGTATAAGGGTTAAAAGACTATCGCCCCAAAGGGCTCCACATAGAGAGTCGGTAATATAACGATCAGAACGTTACAGAAGGTCACGCATAAAGTCTTTGCAATTTTCCAGAAGGTTCGAGAACGTTCCCGAATGACAATTAACTTTTCCTGAGCGAAGCGAGGGTCATCTGCTGCTCGTATAAAAATAAAATTGTAGCGTTTAACTTTTTAAAATGAAAATGTACTTTTGTATTGTTAAATAGCCACCGTTACCATGTTTCTCAAACTTTAGAAAAAATTATAATCTGCAAAAGTAATGTAATAGGTAATAAAAAACTACAACATTTTAGTAAAAAAAGGAGGCGTTCGTTTCATCGGAGAAGAAGCCGAAAGCGAGTCTAATACGGAATCGATTTCGACGGGGGCGAGCGATATTGTTTTGCCTCATCATAAAGTAAAGGGTGTTGTTAAGCAAAAAGACCTGATAAATCAAATGCGAAACACTGTCGACGGATCGTTTGTCTACATGGTTTACGCCGTTCCCAGGTCGTCAGAAATGTTCACCCCGTATGCCTTAAAGTACGTCGCTATATTACCACCTATCACTATAAAACACAGTAAAACATTCAAATTGACCAAATAACTTTTAGATTAGTAGAATACGAGAATGTGGAAAAGACGAACTTTTTGACGATGAGTTCGCATGGCGTGACTCAGTTTATTTGTGGAGAAATGTCCTTCACTAATTTAAACAAATGGGAAGAGGAATACGACACGTATTGTCGTTTAATGAGAATCAAATCGTTCTTTTATTTTCGAATGTGGAAAGCGTATTACGTTTGGCGAAAAGGAATAATTTTTCGAAAATATACTTCTGCAAGGACCGCTTTAGAAGGCAATCTTTTTTACACGAACGCACATTTACGAGAAGCACTCCTCAACATACAAAATATGTGCTTCACAATGATCGAAACCAAATTCTGCGATCTCTCCATTGTAGACAACTTTTACCTATTTTACTTCATAGAAGCGCAGGTTGGTCAGAAATAATTAT